AGGTGACAGCAATGACACAGGTGACACACAGGTGACTCACAGGTGACACAGAGGTGACAGCAATGACACAGGTGACACTCAGGTGACACACAGGTGACAGCAATGACACAGGTGACACAGGGAGGTGACACACAGGTGACAGGTGACACACACAGGTGACAGGTGACTCAGGTGACACTCAGGTGACGCCGCTGTCACTCACTCAGCAGCACGCCGATCCCCAGCGCGCTCAGCAGCGCCGCCACCACGAGGCCACCGACGCGCAGGTGACACCAGTCTGGGGACAGCGACACAGGGACACCTTGGGGACACCTGGGGGACACTGGGGGACAGCTGGGGGACACCTGGGGGACAGCTGGGGACACCTGGGGACACCTGGGGACATTTGGGACACCTGGGGACACTGGGACACACCTGGAACACCTGGGGGACACCTGGGGACATTTGGGACATACCTGGGGACACTGAGGACACCTTGGGGACACTGGGGACAGCTGGGGGACACCTGGGGACACACCTGGGGACACCTTGGGGACACTTTGGGACACCTTGGGGACACCTGGGGACAGCAGGGACAACTTTGTGACATCTTGGGCACATTTGGGACACACCTGGGGACACCTGGGGACACTGGGGACACACCTGGGGACAGCAGGGACACCTTGGGGACACTGGGGACAGCTGGGGGACACCTGGAGACACACCTGGGAACACACCTGGGGACACTGAGGACACGTGGGACACCTTGGGGAGACCTTGGGGACACCTGGGGACAGCAGGGACAACTTTGTGACACCTTGGGGACATTTGGGACACACCTGGGGACACCTTGGGACACCTGGGGACACACCTGGGGACACACCTGGGGACACCTGGGACACCTTGGGAAGACCTTGGGGACACCTTGGGGACACCCCTGGGACACCTTGGGGACACTTTGGGGACACCTGGGAACATTGGGGACAACTTGGGGACACTTTGGGACACCTGAGACAGCTGGGGACATTTGGGGACAGTTGGGGACCCTCCCAGTCCCTCCCCGTGCCCGCACTCACCGTAATGGAAGGGACTGGGGGCACCTGGGGGGGAAGGGAGGGGTCAGAGAGACCAGTACGGACCAGTGTAAACCAGTACAGACCAGTACGGACCAGTACGGACCAGTACGGACCAGTGTAAACCAGTATGGACCAGAATGGACCTCCCCCACCCAGTATAAACCAGTTTGGGCTTTCTATCCCAGTCCATCCCAGTCCCTCCCAATGAACTCTCAAGTGTCTCATTTGCTCCACCTGGTGGCGGCTTTGGGAACTGCAGCGTCCTCCCAGTCCCTCCCAGTCCCTCCCAGTCCCTCCCAGTTTGTCCCAGTCACTCACCGGGGGGGTCCCCTCTGGCCAGGGACAGAACTGGGGGGGGGAGGGGACACCAGTTAAACCAGTCTGGGGGGGGTACTGGGCCCAGCTCCTCCCAGTGACCCCCAGAACCGTCCCAGTTCAGACCAGTTCATCCCAGTCCCTCCCAGTTCCATCCCAGTCCCTCCCAGTCCCTCCCAGTAACCCCAAAATCATCCCACTACAGACCAGTTCAGACCAGTTTGTCCCAGTTCCCCTCCAGTCCCCCCATCATCCACTCCCAGTCCCCCCCCAGTTGTTCCCAGTTCCCTCCCAGTCCCCTCCCAGTATAACCCAGTTCCCTCCCAGTCCCCTCCCAGTCCATCCCAGTCCCTCCCAATCCCCTCCCAGTCCATCCCAGTCCCTCCCAGTACAAACCAGTCCCTCCCAATCCCCTCCCAGTCCCTCCCAGTACAAACCAGTACCTCCCAGTATCACCAGTGCCCGCAGCCGTTCCCGCTCCATCCCGTGACCTTTGACCCCTGGGGGGGAGGGGAAACTCCAGAGGGGCCCGGGGGGAACTGGGACAAACTGGGAGGGACTGGGAGGGACTGGGAGGGACTGGGAGGGACTGGGAGGGAACTGGGGCCGGGTGAGTCACTGGGATTCCTGAGCAGGGTGGGACTGGGATAAACTGGTGGGAACTGGAACTGACTGGGAGGGACTGGGAGGGGTCTGGGTTATACTGGGAGGGACTGGGAGGGGTTTGGGTTATACTGGGAGGCGTGGTCAATGGAGGGGCGTGGTCAATGGGGGCGTTTGGCTGTAGAGAGACTGGGACAGACTGGGAGTGGTACTGGGCTGCACTGGGCGGGCCTGGAGCGGCGCTGGGGCTGGACTGGGATGAACTGGGAGGGACTGGAGGGGTTCAATGAGCTGTTCCCGCCTCTGCCTCCTCCCATTGGCTGAAGCTCCCGCCAATCACTGACTGCAGCCAATCAGCACTCGGCAACAGGACCTGGGGGCGGGGCCTGGAGTTGGCGCCATTTTTGAGATTTTAGACTACAACTCCCGCCATGCCCCGCGGTCCCATAGAGAGTAATGGAGCCGGGACTACAACTCCTGTCATGCCCCGCGACCCCATAGCTGCCGAGCGGAGCCGGGACTACAACTCCGGCCAGGCCCCACGGAGCGCTCGTTATCCGCCTCCGTGTGCCCCATTGGCGCCCCCAGACCCTGCGGGACCACCGCGTGCCCCCCCCGAGCCCACCCGGGACCCCCAAACGCCCCACACCACGCAGAGGCTGCCTGACACCGCTTTTGGGACTACAGGTCCCGTCATGCCCCGCGCCCCATCGAGCCTCATCACAGCCGGGCCTACACCTCCCATCATCCCTCGCGGCCGTCACGTCCCGCGCCCCAGAGAGATCCCTCAGCGCTCCCCAGGTGTCCCCCAAGGGCTCCCGACCCCACAGAACCCCCTCAGGTGCCGTTCCGGACCCCCAAGCGCTCCGTCACAGCGACTTCTGGGACTACATCTCCCATCACGCCCCGCGGTGCCCGTAGCGCGCTATTACCGCCGTGCTTCTATCTCCCGTCATGCCCCGCTGAAGCAGCGCCTCCATCTCCCGTCATGCCCCGCGCCCCATAGAGCACCGTTATACCCGCGCCTACAACTCCCACCAACCCCCGCGCCCCACAGATTCCCCGTTCGATCCCCCCCCAGACCCAAAAATCTCCAAAAACAGGAAAAAAAAAACCCCAATTAATTTGAACACCAAAACTCAAGACACTCTCGACAGCCCAACCCTTTAATAATTAAAAATTTTTCCTCTGTTTAAAAACTTCCTTCCGTCCCATTTCAGCTCAGTCCATTCGCATCTCGATTTGATTCGATTCCGCCGCCTTCCTCCCCTCAGGGGCTTTTCGGGGTCTCTCACAGCAGGGTCCGGCCTCGCTGCGTCAGTAAAACCCCGAAGCGGCGCTTGAGGGCCAGGCGGTGCCGGGAGAATTTATCATCGGGGGAGAAGCGGGCGGGATGGGCCGAGCGCGTGGGGACCCCGGCCGGGGACACCTTCTGTGGGGACAGCGCGTCAGGGGAGCCCAGAGCGCCACAAAAACCCCAAAACCCGCCCTCGGGACGCGCACAAACCCGAAATCCCCCCTCAGGACACTTAGAATCCCGAAAGCCCCGCAATAATCTCCTCCTCAGGACACCCGAACTGCAGAAATCCCCCCTCACAACACCCGAACTCCCAAAATCCCCCCTCAGGACACCCAGAATCCCGAAATCCCACAAAATTCCCCCTCAGGACACCCAAACTCCCAAACCTCCCCCTCAGGACACCCAGAATCCCGAAATCCCACCGGTTTCCCCTCAGGACACCCAAACTCCACAAAATCCCCCAGTTCCCCCCTCAGGACACCCAAACTCCCAAATTCCCCCCTCAGGACACCCAAACTCCCGAAATCTCACAAAATTCCCCCTCAGGACACCCAAACTCCACAAAATTCCCCCTCAGGACACCCAAACCCCACAAAATCCCACAAAATTCCCCCTCAGGACACCCGAACTCCCAAAATCGCACAAAATTCCCCCTCAGGACACCCAGAATCCCGAAATCCCACAAAATTCCCCCTCAGGACACCCAAACTCCACAATATCCCACAAAATTCCCCTTCAGGACACCCAAACTCCCGAAATCTCACAAAATTCCCCCTCAGGACACCCAAACTCCACAAAATCCACAAAATTCCCCCTCAGGACACCCAGAATCCCGAAATCCCACAAAATTCCCCCTCAGGACACCCAAACTCCACAAAATTCCCCTTCAGGACACCCAAACTCCACAAAATTCCCCCCTCAGGACACCGAAATTCCCCTTTTTGGACCTAAATTCCCCTTTTTGGGTCCAATCTTCCCATCTGAGCACTCAAATTCCTCCTTTTTGGATCCATATTCTCCTTTTTTTGGGCCCCAATTCTCCCTTTTTGCACCCAAATTCACCTTTTCTGGACCCAAATTCTGCCGGTTTTGAGCCCAAATTCCCATTTTTGGAACCAAATTCTCCCTTTTTGAGCTCAAACTTTCCCTTCCTTGACCCAAATTCCCCTTTTTCAGTGTCAAATTCCCCCTTTTTGAGCCCAAATTTTCCCTTCCTTGACCCAAATTTCTCTTTTTTGGGCCCCAATTCTCCCTTTTTTCAGCCCAAATTCCCATTTTTTGGACTCCAATTCTCCCTTTTTTAGTCCAAATTCCCCTTTGTGAGCCCAAATCTTCCCTTTTTGAACCCCAATTCCCCTTTTTTAGGCCCAAATTCTCCCTTTTGCACCCCAATTCTCCTTTTTTGAGTCCAAACCTCCCCTGGGTGCCCAAATATCCCTTTTTATGGGCACAAAATTTCCCTTTTTTGGACCAAAATTCCCCTTTTTGGGTCCAAACTTCCCATCCCCAATCCCCCTCAGGACACCCAACCTCCCTCGTACCGTTCCCAAACCGCACCCCGTGCACCCAAACACCGCGGATCCCCTCAGATCCTTCCCCAAATCCCCTCCGAACGTCCCCAAATCGCCCCAAAATCACCCCAAAATCGCCCCGTACCCGCAGGGTGTAAACGCGCTCCCCGCGCTCGTTCAGGTAACACTGCAGGAACATGGCGGCGCCGACGGGAAACGAGGCCGGAAGTCGCCTCAGGATAAAAGGGAAAGGGGGCGGGGTTTATACCGGAAGTTGGCGAGGAGGATGATGGGAAATGTAGTCCCGGAAGGGAGCGGGGACTAAAGCTCAACCCAGGGCATCCAATGGGAGCCGAGAGGGGAAATTTGGGGGAAAAAGGGAAATTTTTGGGGAAAAATAGTAATAATTATACAAATAATGAGCCATAATTATAAAAATAACAATAATTATAAAATTAGAAATAATTATAAAAATGGCAGTAATTATAAAAATAGTAATAATTATAAAATAGTAATAATTATAAAATAGTAATAATTATTAAATAGCAATAATTATAAAATATCAATAATTATGAAATACCAATTATTATAAAATAAATAGCAATAATTTAAAAATATTAATAATTATAAATTAGCCATAATTTTAGAATATTAATAATTATAAATAGCAATAATTAAAATATATTAATAATTATAGAAAGCAATAATTTTTAGAATATTAATAATTATAAATAGCAATAATTAAAAATATTAATAGCTATACAATAGAAATAATTAAAAATA